GATGCCTGAAGACTTAATCAAATTCAGTGATATGGAAATTGGATATCTTAATCGGAAAAGCTAGAGACAAGTAAGGATTTCTCAAGCAGATGAAAATCCTCTGTTCCGGAAGACTACATAAGAACCGGATGTCTCGCTACAACCCGCTGAAAGCTAAGTCACCCAAATCGGAAGACTAGCGCGGATCTCTCTCTCACCCAGAAGTCTGAGAATGACTTCTCCGGATTTGTCAGCGAAGAACCGGATGCCTCAAGGAAGACCGGAATTCTCAGAAAACGGACAAGTGAGAAAGGACTTAGATAATTATCTAAGTCTTGAATGAAGAAATTCTACCCGTTAGTAAGGAAAAATCAATCTCTTGATTTTCAACGGCTAGATTGAAGATAATTATGCTGGTTCAAGAACAAATGACTCGAAGACAAAGTCTGAATATCCAAAAATTGAAGAACCTGTCCAGAATTCCTAAACAAGCACTAGAAGACAAACAGAGTAAAGTGCTACAGTCTTGAATTCTTGAACAACGGCTAAAAGACAGATTCTGTGGAAGAAGGAATCCTTTCTCAACAATTGGGTACGTCCAACCACCCACTTCAATGAAGAATCTTCAAATCACAATCTTCATTCAAAATTGAAGCTAGCAAATGCAACGGATAATCTATTATGATTCAACGGATAGATTATCCAATCCAGCTATAAATAGCATCCTTGGAAGACTAAAGAGAACACGATGAGATACGTTGATACAACAACACAACGAAGCAATCACTAAAGCTATCTCATTCAAAGTTAGCCCAAAAAGCTTGATAAAGAGAGATTTCTAAACTCCTTATCCAGAAGCAAACTTCTCCTCCTTCCAAAAAGCTATAGTCTAAACACTTGAAGGTTTCCTTGCCTCAAGCACCACACCACGTTGAAGGATATTACTTTTGATCAAACTTATTGATTAAAAGGGGGTAGGTCAACTCTCTTACAAGTTGATCTTGCAAGTCCTATTGTTCGGATCTTGCAGTTGTTGAAGAAGCTTGACCTTCGAAGGAACAACAAAGCCAGCATGAGTGCAGTAGCAACATTGGTCTTGTGAAGATATACCGTGCAGAAATTCACACAAGTGTAACTGTTGGTTCATTATTCAACAACCAACTACATAGTGGATTTTGAGGACGTAGAAGGATTACCCCACCTTCGAACCTCGTTAAAGTTTGCGTGTCTCTCTCTCTTATCTTTATTCTTACTTGCAATTATATTAACTGTGAAAACTAACCTATCCATATTAATTACTGCTCACTCCACCCACCAAATTCCGCACACAATCTAAAGTTCACAAGGACTCTAGATTAACACTCATTTTCTAGTTTTCAAAAGAAACGAAAAAGATTTTAAACTTGTAACAAAGTCTATTCACCCCCCCTCTAGACTTTGTATTTCACCACTTTGGGACCACCTTTTTCTGGCCCATTTGGCACCCAGAATGTCCCTGCCGGGCAGCCCCGCCAGGTCCTGCACACTGCCTGAAGCTTCACGATCCGGAAGAGGTCGAGAGGGAGAGGCAGGCTATCGCTAGGCGCCAGGCGGAGGAGATGGCCCGGAATAATAGGGCGAATAGAGATCGGACTAGGGCCGTGAGTCATGTCATAGGCAACAGAAACGGAAACCCGCGAGGAATAGTTTTTGAAAGGATATCTCACCAGAGGGCTCACGTTAGTGAGAGGCTAGGGAAGAATCCGAACAAGGCACCCTAGGGATGGGTACGACCCCAGACCAGCCAAGTGGCATCCTCTAACCGTGAATGCGATCATTGGTGGTCTTGGACGAGGAGGAAGTTCAAAGCCATGCCAGGGTCCCGGTACCACAGCGTCTGGGGCCACAAGTGCCGGAAGTTGGCAAGTTCCAGGATTTGAGAGAACAGATCCAAGAGATGCAAAGGAAGATAAACAAGGGACGAGTGTTCACTACCCGGACGAATACACTACTCGCCCCGGAGATCTTTGCAGAACCATATCCTCAGGGATTCAAAATGTCGTTTGTCAAGCGTTATGATGGGGAGTCAGATCCCCAAGAACACATAAATAGCTATGTCCAGGTGATGATCGCTGTTGATGCCAGCGACGCGTTGATGTACCGATGTTTCTTGCAGACGGTGGATAGCAAGGTTGCTGATTGGGTGAATCACGTTCCAGCCGGATCGATCCGAACTTGGGATGAGTTGGGATTGCGGTTCCTAGAGCATTTTGCAGGGAAGTGCCGTCCAAAAAGCATTTTACCCACTTGGCTTCTGTGCTACCTGAAGAACTTCCTCGTCCGATGGTCTCCTTCATACCGATCTCACAACCCATCCCCCGGATACCTTTGAGGAAGCAATGGTACGGGCAGGAAGGTATGTGACCCTGAAGGAGAGGAAGGAGGAGAAGAAAGAGAAGATTCCCAAGGAAGAAGAGAAGGCGGGAAACAAGAAGCCTTTCAAGAACAAGAAGCAGGGCTTCCCAGATGGCCCGAAAGGCACGAGCCCCGGGACCTCGGAGAAGCACAAATCTGCTAATCCAGTGTTTACATTACCGGTGGCTGAGGTCATGGCCCATGTTGCATAGTAGGGACTAATGACATATCCAACCTATTCCCAGAAGGTCTGCAATGTGGAGGACACTGGGAAATGGTGCGCTTACCATCGCAAGAATGATCACAACACAGAAGACTGTTATACCTTGAAGAATGAAATGGCCAGGCTAATCTGCCGGGGTCATCTGAAGAAGTTTGTACAAGATGGGGACGGGGGAAACCCCGGGAATGCTCAGAACGGAAGGCGGAGAGAAGGGCAGGTGGCCCAGGCCGAGGCTCGGGAGAAACGCCACATTGGACTCGAGGATGAAGAGGAAGATTCAGAACCCGCGCCACACTGACATAAGAGGCACCATGGGTGTAATTACATCATTGGTGGGAACATTGGTGGAGATTTGGCCACAAGTCGGAAAAAGTGGGCTAGTGCAGCAAAGGTTAATAAGGTGGCGGCCCCTGCCCAACCGGAAGGTAAGAGGCTGAAAACTGAGCCAATTCTATTTTCTAATGCTAATCTGCCAGAAACGGGGGTCCCCCATAGGGACGCATTGGTGATTACAATTGATATAATGGACTTGCTTATCCACAAGACTTTGGTGGATACGGGAAGTTCCGTTAACATCATGTATATGGATACTTACAAGGCTCTGGGTCTGACGAGAGATGAGTTATTACCCATTAAGACTCCTCTGACCGGGTTCACAGGCGACTCTATTGAATCGGAGGGGGCCGGGTGATAACCATGCCGGTCGAGGTAGGAGATACTAAGGCCACCCGGAAATTGGACATGGAGTTCGTTGTAGTGGGAATAATCTCCAATACTAATATCATTCTGGGAAGACCTGGATTAGACGATTTGGAGTGTGTCATCTCACCTCGTCACATGTGCATAAAGTTCCCAACCCCCCATGGGATTGGAATTGCCAGGGGATCTTAGAGGGTGTCCCAGGCGTGGTATTTCAAGGCAACTAAAAAACCTATCAGATACGACACCCAGGTGGGGGAGGTAACCGCACAGTTCTTAAGAGCCGAAGAAAGACGGCCCAGGGTTGAAGTTGCAGGCGACATAGAGGAAGTAGAACTAGAGCCAGGCATGCCGGGAAGGTTGGTTAGAATTGGAAGAGGCCTGGGGGCTGAACTCAGGTCACGAGTAATTTCTGTTCTCAGGAGATTCAGAAAGGTCTTTGCATGGAGTCCAGCTGATATGCCGGGGCTGGATCACAAGATTGCAGTTCATCGTCTCAATGTTTTGCAGGATGCTAAACCGGTGAAGCAGAAGCGGATGCATCTGTTGCAAGAAAGGAGAGACTTCGTGAAGAAGGAGCTGACAACCTTGCAGAGTATTGGACACATTCGGGAGGTGCATTACCCGGATTGGTTGGCAAATGTAGTCTTGGCGCCTAAGCCTCCTTCGTGGAGAATGTGCGTCGATTACACGGACTTGAACAAAGCATGTCCGATGGATCCATTTCCTCTCCCCAATATTGACGAGAAGGTGGATGAGACTGCTGGATCAGAGTTGATGAGTTTCATGGACGCCTTCAGTGGCTACAATCAGATTCGAATGCACCCGGCCGACGTTGAAAAGACAAGTTTCATGACTCCTGAGGGCCTGTACCGTTATTTAATGATGGCATTCCGACTGAGAAATTCCTGGGCGACATACACCCGGATGGTTTCTCAGGTGTTCAAAGCCGTCTTGGGGCGAACCATGGAAGCTTATGTTGATGACATGATTGTCAAGTCCAGAGAGGCCCGAGACCACGTCCGGGACCTTGAGGAGGTCTTTGAAATCATGATGAAGGTAAACTTAAGATTGAACCCGAAGAAGTGTACTTTTGCTGTTCAAGGTGGAAAATTCCTAGGGCACATGGTTAGTCGAAGAGCGATTGTGGCTAACCCAGAGAAGGTAAGAGCCATCATGGAGATGGAACCGCCGAAGATAGCAAAAGAGGTCCAGCGGTTGACGGGGAGATTGGCGGCTTTGAATCGTTTCCTTTCAAAGTTGGCAGAGAAGGCGCACCCGTTCTTTACTGTACTCAAGAAGAGGACGACCTTTGAGTGGACACAAGAATGTCAATTGGCATTCGAAGAATTGAAGAGGTATCTGGCGAGTCCTCTAGTTTTATCCAAGCCGGAACCCGGGGATGTCCTGACGTTATACTTAGCAATTGCAGACTATGCCATCAGTACAGTGATTGTAAGAGAACAGAACGGGGCCCAGCATCCGGTCTACTATGTCAGTAAGACCTTGAGAGATGCGGAGCTGAGGTATTCCCGCCCAGAAAAGGCCATGTTAGCGGTCTTTTGGACGACGAAGAGATTAACCCCGTACTTTCAAGCTCACCGGATCGTGGTACTCACCAATGAGTCCTTGGCGTCACTTACTCGAAGCCCAGCGGCATCCGCCATAATGACCAAGTGGGCGGTGTTCATCAGTCAGTACAATCTGGAGTTCAGGCCGCGTCCATCGATCAAAGGGCAGGCACTCGCCGACTTTCAGGTTGAGTGTACGGTCAGGGAGATGACAAGAGCCCGGGTTGAAACCCGGGTAGAAGATGACTGGTTGGTGATGAGCATTGACGGATCTTCCGGGTCCCGATCCTGTGGAGCAGGTATTGTCTTGATCACTCCGGAAAGTTTCCGGATATATTATGCTATCAGATTTCAGTTCCGCGTGTCCAACAATGAAGCCGAATATGAGGCCCTAATTAATGGAGTGAAGATTCTCGGCAAGCTGGGGGTGTCCAGGGTCCAGGTATACAGCGACTCCCGCTTGGTTGTGGGACAAATTAGTGGGGAGTTCGAAGCAAAGGAGGAGAGGATGAAGAAATATCGAAACTTGTCCTTGGAAATGTTGGGAAAATTCGAGTATAAGCTAGAGCACATACCCAGGGCGTAGAACACGGAAGCTGATGTCTTATCCAAGCTTAGCGCTGAATCGCCGGAGTATATAAGCAAGTTAGCAACTGTGGAGGAGTTGGCAACCCCCAGTCTCAATAGGGATGAAGTGCTTTGGGTATCAGCCGACCCCCCGGAATGGTTAGATAGGCTGGCTAGATACATTGAGGACGGGGTAGCCCCGGAAGATCCCCAAGAAGCCTGGTTGCTGCGAATGAGAGCACCCACCTACAAAGTGCAGGAGGGAGTACTTTATAAGCGATCCTACAACGGTGTTTTACTCCGCTGTCTTAGGGCGGCAGAAGCAAAAGCAATTATGGAAGAGATACATGAAGGAGTATGTGCGGCACATCAAGGCCCATACTCTATCTCCAGAAGGGCAATAATCCAAGGATATTTCTGGCCAACAATGAGGAAAGATTGTGAGGAGTATGTGCGCAAGTGTCCAACTTGTCAACAGTTTCAGAACATACCCGGGAGGCCAGCCACAAATTACACGCCCATTAGTTCGGTAATCCCTTTCTCCAGGTGGGGGATTGATATCGTGGGTGCCCTGCCGAAAAGGAATTGGACAGGCAAGATGGATAGTGGTGGCCATAGATTATTTTACCAAATGGGTAGAGGCTGAGCCGCTTGCTGGGATCACAGGGAAGCAGATGATCGATTTCGTGGGAACCAATATACTTTGTAGGTTTGGGGTCCCGAAGCAGATCATATCCGACAACGGAACTCAGTTTGAAGAAGCGGAATTCCAAGACTTCCTCAAAACCTGGGGAATTCAACATACGAAGGTATCCGTAGCCTATCCCCTGGCTAATGGTCAGGTGGAGAACGTCAACAGGACGATCATAAGTGGGATAAAAAAGAAGTTGATGTCGGAAGGAAGCAACTGGGTGGATGAACTACCCAGAGTCCTATGGACATACAGGACCACTCCAAGAAGGGCCACGGGTGATACTCCTTTTGGCTTGGCCTATGGGTCTAAAGCCCGGGCACCAGCTGAAACAGTAATCCCAACCAGGAGGGAAATGACATATGACCCGGAAGTGAACGAATAGAATCAGGCCGTTAAGCTTAATTTCTTAGAGGAAAGAAGAGATGAAGCGCGAATCCGGGCATAAAATCACCGTCGCCAGGTGAAATCTTACTTTGATAGTAGGGTGAAACCGAGGGCGTTCCAGGTGGGGGATTACATCCTAAGAAAACGACAAAAGAGTCAACCAACTAAGGGCGGAAAGTTGGCCAAAAAGTATGAAGGACCTTATATCATCAAGGCCGTTGTTCGCCCAGGTACCTACTAGTTGATGACTCCAAAGGGAAAAGAAATAGATATGACATGGAATGTAGAGCACTTGGTAAAATTTTATCAGTAAAATTGTTTTGTAACTGATGCACTCTGTTTTTTCGTTTAATAGAAATGATGAAACCACTCTTATCAAGACATGAAACAGAAATAATGTTTCTGCTAATTGCAGGAACGTACAAGCAATCGTTTAATTCCAACATTAGACCACTAGGCAAGACTAAACTATAAGTTCCGATTGCCAAAGCTGCAAGAGGTGCACCATTGCCGACTCGGAGTTCAATCTCGCCTCGAGCTAACCGTCTACTCTGCTTCAGTCCCTGCATGGTAGTACAGATATGAGACCCACATCCAGTATCTAGTACCCATGATGAAGATATAGACATGTTAACTTCTATAACATACACCTCAGAAGAAATGGTCGTACCTTCCTTCTTCTTGGTTGCGAGGTATGTCTTGCAGTTTCTTCTCCAGTGGCCTGCCTTACCATAGTGATGACATTTGCCCTTTGCAACTCCTCCTATGGGTTTCTAGGTTGCAGATGAAGTGGACTTTGATTTAGGCTTTCCGACCGTCCTAGCCTTAATCTTAATCCCCTTCTTCGACTTCCCCTTTCCGCCTTGGACCATAAGGACGAAAGCACCCTTGCCCTTAGTAAGGTTTTCCTCTGCAGTCTGGAGGATTTTAAGAAGCTCCGGAAGGGGTTGTCAAGATCATGCATCATGTAGTTCATGACAAAACCCTTATACAGCTCAGGGAGAGACTGCAGGATCAGGTCCGTTGCCAGCTCCTTCTGCAAGGAGAACCCGAGTTTCTCCAGATTGGTTATGTAACCAATCATTTTGAGAACGTGCGGACCAACCGGGTTCCCTGAAGAGAGCTTGCAACTAAAGAGAGCCTTACTCACGAGAAAACGTTCATGCCTGGATTGCCCCTGGTATAGCTGCCGCAAGGCCACGATCATCTCGTGGGCCTTCATGTCCTCGTGCTGTTTTGCAGCTCGTATATCATGGTAGCCAGCATGACACAGCTAACCTGGTTGTCATCCTTAACGTGTTTCTCGTAGGCATCTTTGACCGCTTTCGGGGCGTTAGCAGGTGGGGCAGGAGGAATGGGCTTTTCGAGCACATACTCTTTCTCATCCATGCGGAGAACAATGCAGAGATTGCGTTGCCAGTCAACAAAGTTTGTTCTGTTCAATTTATCTTTATTCAGAATGGAACGCAGGGCGAGGTTGTTTGTGTTGTTGTTTGCCATCTACAGAGTTTTGCGAAGATAGCTATTATCATGAATTAAGTATCTAATAGGTCTTTATTAAATACTCTCCCACTATTTCTAACAAGTCAACTACCCTCAGGTACGGAACCTATTGACTTGGGGTTTCTATTTGAAGAATACCCTAGCGGGCCAAGATCCATATTTTATTTAACTATAGTTGTGCTTTGCATCTTGCCCTACAGTTAAATTATTTAGGTAGGAATTCATTCCAATTGAAATCGTTATTACAACTCTTGGTTCGGTGGATTCTTTTAAATAAAATTCTTAATTGGGCCAGATCCATATTTCATTTAACTATAGTTGTGCTTTGCATCTTGCCCTACAGTTAAATTAT